ACCCATTCCATGATTGGCATTAATATTTGTTTTGACCACATAAAACGTCTACATACCTTGATGTTTAACCTAAAGTATGATTGTGGAGCATTGCTCCACGCGACAATCACCGCGACCCCTAGAAAGGTCACAGGGAGCCATGCAGCGAGTCGGACTTATTGAGATATCTCCGAGAGAGCAAAGTACTTGTTCGCGGCCCTGCCGAGTCTTCAACTCTGGAAAGGCCCACAGCGGGCACGTGCCTGGGTGCATTCCCACGCATTTGGTCTGAATTTCTTACGCTCAAGCTGACATGAAAGTCATTGAATGCTTGCAGAATTTTGTTCTCTGCTTGTCTCTTCTTGTGGTCAGCCGGCTTGAACGTCGTCCGATTAGTGCCTTACTAGTATGAGCCTTAGCCCACCCGTTTCTCATACATTTTATTGACCCACCCACAGAATATATAGACATGCCACCCCTACATAGGATTAATGCCGCTTGTGTTGCAGTAATGGCAGCCATGGTGTCTCGAATTACCTCTTCCTACGCATTAGCCACAGACATTCAGGATCCTCTGTTGCCTTCCGATTTCACACAAACAAGTACGTGCCCACATTTGAGAGTAGACTTTTTTTTCATATCGTGTATGAGTTACAAGCTCTACTCAAAGATTCTATCAGCATTTTCTTCTTACTCCTTGCTGTGGCTCGGATATCTAAAAGAAAGTCTGCTCTCTATTCACAATGTTCTTCGGATCTGTCCGACCTCCACTCTTGCGACACATTCCCCCATGGGAATGTATCTACACGGCAGCAAAGGAAAAAAAATCATTTTCTTTATTGCAACCAGATTTTTGTAGTCAGTTTCCCCCTCTAAATCTGGATATTCCGCACACATTTCCTCGGTGCAGGTTGCTCTCGCTCGTCTAAAGCGGCCAATATTATGGACTGTACATATGAAGGCCATCTTATACACGTAACAACTGTCGACGCACATACAAACGTGGAAGCACTGGGCTCTAAAATATGGAGTGACTTGTCGACAGGAGAGATGGAAGTGGAGGCACCTGGATTCAAGTTGAGATGTTTGATAAGTAGAGGAGAAAGGATTTTGATGACCAACCTTGTGAGGTTGACACGTCCTGGAGAGGAAGCCTGACGCAGATTATTCCGTGGAAGCATCAGAAGTGCCCGCCTCCATGGCATCTCCATCCTCACTGGAGCATCCTTCTTTCGCGGTCTCGCTTCTTCGCGGGGCGCGTACCCTGGAAGCTAGCACCGACCTGGCCGGGCCCCAGCCGGCGACTCAGCCGTTTGACTGCCGAAGGACAGCAGCCGGTCGTAACTGCACGGACGCAGGGGGACAGTGGGCACATGTGGAGAGGAACGAAGACGGCGGCACGCACGTGACGGCGCCCGGCGTGGACATCAGGACGGGGGGGGAAGGCGGGGGAGACGTGCGGGTGGACGCCTGGGGGTTCCATCTCGTATGCCGAAAGGAGAGTGCGACGAACAAGACCACCTGTGGGGCCAGCAACGACTGGTTTGGAAAGGGTGGGGCGGGACGCACGGGCGATGGGCCGGCTCCGGTCTCGGCAGCCAGGCCCAGGGGGCCGGAGGAGGACGTGCCCGACCCTGTCATGCACTTAGCGCCCCAGCACCGGGCAGACAGACCCGCGGAAGGCAGCGGCAGCCAAGGTAGAGGCAGTGAGGGTGGGAGCAGGGGGATGGCTTCAGGCAGCTCCACGACCATCACGGACGGGCCTTTCGACAGGTTTCAACCGGCGTCTCCTGCTGGCACGGTGGGGGAAAGGCTGACTACCACACTTGGACAAAAAGCCTCTGAACCGGGCACTGTTGCATCAAATATTCTGTCTAAGGAGATAGAAAGCGCCTCTGCTCCGGCCACGATTCTTGTCGGGGTGGTAGAGGACCCCCCCCCCACCGTCCGTCGCTTGCACCAAAGTCTCCCTTACATGGCTCGACCGCTCCTTCCACCCCCGACCCCCGCGATCCCCTCTGGGTGTCAAACCCGAAGAACTGTACGCGGGCTTTCAAGGGGGAAGGGGAAGACTGCTGGGATGACGAGCACTGGGTAAACGGACGCACGGGCACGAGTGGAAGGAGGGAGGGACCCGGAGGAGAGAGTGGAGTGGAGGTAACTAGTGCAGGCAGGGCCGATTTGCCCGTATCCGCGGGCGTTGAAAAGGAAGATAGCGATGCGACAGATGCTGGGCGAAGATAAGACATGGCGCAGTAAAGGAAATGATTGTGGCCGGCCCCATGCAATACGTCGTGGGAGAGACGCTCTACCTTGAGAGAGGACCGCGGAGACAGACGTGAGAGAGGAGGTTTCATGAGGCGACAGGGTGCTGGTGGTCGGTTGACTTTTTAATTGGACGTAAGTTACCTCCTTTAAAATGTTTAGAGGGAGATCGCCTCTGTAGAAAGCAATATTCAGGCAGAAATGATTATTTTGGCATGGGAAAAGGTCACACGGGCCTTGTCATCTTGAGTCGTTGACACAATAGCAAATTTTGTTAATAGATGCATGTTTGAAAGTGGGAAAGTGGTGGCTTTTCTCACCGCGAGGTGAGAAAAGCATACATGGAACGACACTCAAATCATGCAAAGGAAGAATCACTTATCAATGAGGGAAATGCGCCTCAATTTTTCTTTCCGCCATCTTCTACATGCACGTGATCATCTCAAATTTCTTTTAAAAGATTGCCTCGTTGTCACCACCTCCTTCGTCGCCGTCATCCATCCCGTCGTAGCCATCGCTCGCGTAGTGATTCATGGCATAGTCATCATCCTCGTCAACCTCCTCCTCCTCTTCCTCCTCGACCAAACCCTCCTCCTCCTCCTCCTCATCTTCTTCGTCTTCGTCCCTTTTCTTGCTCCTCAGATTGTTGCCAGAGACAGGGTCCTTTTCACCGAGCTCATCTTGAGTGAGCTTTCGCTTCCATTTCTTCGTACCACTTACTTCTTCTTCCTCCTCTCCTTCCCCTACTGCTTCTTCTTCCTCGTCCTCCAATATCACCCGGCACCTAGGCTCCTATGGATTATGGCAGACAAATAAAATAAGTTTGAATCAAATATGTGAATGGTAATTTGTTAGTCCCTTTCCCAGACACGTACTTTTGCCATGGTCGCCGTCGCCGCGGCCCCCTTGCCTCTATTTCGAAAGCCAGTTTTTGTCAATGCTTTCTCCCTTCTGCGGGGGATTGAGGATTTTGCACGAGGGTAGAGCTCAAATGGAATGTAGACCGCACTATCGCTCTGTAAGACAAGTGACAGGATAAACAAGAGATATGCGACACTAGTAAGTTCAGGCTGAGATTTCCTTGGCTTAGGCGACGGGAAGGAGACAGAAATGCTCCATCAAAGTCCTTCTCTCTCGGCAAAGAATCTTCCTTGTGTGACCATTAGCCACTCGCAAAGTACGCGACCGAATAAAGTCACCGCCATTCCCATGGGCCCTTGCACACGGACCTTGGGCTCCGGCACGTGGATGACCTCCCACAGTGACGCACGTCTACTTCGTTTCACGCCGTCCTTCTCTGCCTCCGGCCCTCTGCTTCCATCGTTTTCAAGAGTTCCTCTATATCTATCTGAGTAGCGAGTTATCTCCTTCGTTACAGTTGCAGCGCGTGCAGCGGGTTGAAGGTAATAAACCGAATGTTGCCACCAGTGCACTGAAATGGGAGAGATGAAGGTGGATAATGACACAAAAGTTTGGACACATGGTATCATATGTAGGACTTGTGCAGTTCCATATCCGTAAATCATTGAACGAAGAGTACTTGGCATGCTACTTGGTATAAGACCTCCCCTCTCCACTACCATCTCCCACGTACCTAACTCTCTTTGCGCCTGAATTTTTATTCCCTCATCCTCCGTCAACGGCCTGGGCGGATATATAGGAATATATGGGTAGGAAGGCAGCGGTTCCTGTTGCGTAGAGCCGGAAGCGGCGCGAGGATCTAGCCCCATCTCCTCTGCTGTGTCTCGCAGATGGTCGAGCGCTGTGAGACCTCCACCGCCGGGCACTCCGCCCCGTCCTCCAAAACGTCCACCGCGGCCCCGCCCCCGCCCCATCATCGCTCCTCAAGGTAGATATTACGCTACTTTCCTTGAAATGAGCACAAAAACTACGTGAAAAGCGGACCAGAGATGTGAGGAGGTAGTCGCGATGTGAAAGGGAAAAGGAGTGGAATTCCAAAATATTTACCCTTCCAAGAAGACATTTCGCTCATTATTTCCTAGTCAATTACAAAAACTCCTCTCAATACAATGCATCAGTATGCCGGAGGCCCATTTATATGAGTATTTGGGAATCTAAATGATAATTGTTTGCCACCAGAGGTAGATTTCCCCCGTTCCGAGCCACTGATAGAGTAACTTGGGGACCATGGGTCCATGGGCCTCAAGACAAGTCTTTACAGCGCAGAATGTACAGGGCTGCATGTGCCAATGATGCACACTGGAAACCGTATTTAATTAAATGCTCTGCTTAACCAACAGGTGGAAGCTGTCGGGATTGGCGTTTCTTGGCAACGAACCTTCAAGTCATGGAGGACCTTCCAAGTGGCGTTATGCCAGCAGCCGCCGCGGAAACGCTACCTGTAGAGATCCTTGATGCAAATGTGACTGGTCTTCCGGTGAAAAGTGAAATTCTGGATGGTGGTGAGGTTCATGCGGAGAGCATGGGCACACGAGTCCGCAAATCCAGCTCCACCACCGTGGCGAGCAACAAAATGGGCCCAGGCATTGGCAAGTCATTTTCCTCATCAAGTCCCAGCGTGTCGACAACGGCACCTAATGCAGTCGCGCCTGTTGACACATCGTATAATTCTTCCTCTTCCGCTACTGCTCTTGAAATCGCCTTTGAATTCTGGTCGGGACTGGATCTATCAGGCGCTTGCCGTGCGGAGCTCGAGCGGCAAGGGCGCGAGCTCAAGGAGGCAAAGGAAAGCACAATAAGAAACCGAAAACGCCTGACGGAGGCGACCAGGGAATGGAAGAAGAAAGGTGAAAACAATAAAAGTGAGTTTGAAGTCTTGCTGAAAGCCTACCAAGAGGAGATTGACAGGCTGACCCGACGAGCCAAAGGCGCGGATGCTGCCTTCGCAAATGCCTATCAAGTCCTGCACCAGGCGCCGGACCCCACGCCCCTTCTCGACAAAGCCAGATCCGATAATCGGACTGGCGCTACACTTAAAGCCGAGCTTGGAAGGCTTCAACAAGAAGTGGATGAATACGAGGTGGAGTTTCGGAAGCTCAAGAACCAAGACGTCACCATTCGCAGGCTGCAGGAGAGCCTGACCGCGTACGAGCAGGGAGCGGCAGGGGATATGGCAGCATCCATCGAGTCAGCACGGGTGGAGATAGAAGCCTTGGCGAACGCTAGGGTCTGCGAGGCCAAAGAGCGTGAGAGGCGCATGGAGGGTCGTTTGCGGGTGGCGGAAGCGGCAGAGGCAGCTGCGGAAGGGATGCGGGCTCGCGCCCAGTCTGAACTGCTGGAGCTTGCGCGTCTGGCGGAAGAAAAGGTGGCAGCGATGACGGCCGAGGGAGACTTGCTCGTGCAGGAACGCGAACGATTCGAGGCGGAGGCTGTGGCGTTGCGACGGGAGCTTGAAACTGTCAAAATGGCAGCCAGCGAGGCAGGTAGGGACGGCGCGGACGGCCAGCCGGTCTCCTTACGATCGTCCTCTGCTTCCTCCGACACCGGAAAAAGCTGCGTGGAGGCTCTCGAAAAGGAGCTGGAGGAGATGGGGGCATCCCTTGCTGCTGTGCGCCAGCGGCTGCTGGTTAAAGAGGAAGAGTGGGCCTCGTCGCAGCGTCGTGCCCGGGAGGCGGCAGCAGCGCTAGAGAAAGAACTGGAGGAGGAGCGGAAAGCCAGGTCCAAGGCAGAGGAAGAGGCGCAAGAACGACCGTCAAGGGAGGAAGTGGGGAAACTGAGGGCGCGAGTGCGATTGTTGCAGCAGTTGGGGTTCAACGGGGCGGAGGAGGAGGAGGGAGAGGGCGGGGAGGGGATGACGCTTGGAGGACCCAGTGGGACGGCAGGCAGGCCAGAGGAGGCCGTGGACAGGGTCCCGAGTGCCGCCGAAGAGGGCGAGGTCAAGGAGGAAAGCATCGTGGAGGACCAGAGTCAGGAGGGAGCGGGGGGCACGGGTGTGGGGAGACTGCTGATGGCCAGGCTGCGGCGCATGGAGACCGAGGTCATGTCGGGACGTCGCCGGATTGCTGAGCTGGAGGGGGAGCGGGCGCGCCTAGAGAACGAGAAAGGGAGCGCTGAGGCCAGGGTGGTGGAATTGAGTGCGCTGATTTCCCGGCTGGAGGATGACCTGGCGCGTGTGGCCAGCAAGGGGGTCGGGGACGTTATGGCCGAGGGGACGGTCGGCTCACAATCGCGGACGCCCTCAGTCCCCCCCGGCCGGGGACCGTCCTGGAAGGTGGCGTCCTCCCGGGACGAGGAAGATCTAGACGTTGATATGCACGAGCTCTTGGCCTCGACGACACAGCCCGCGCCCGCCCTTGGCGCGTCCCCCTCGGCCTCCCTCGACCTGGTCCGGATCCTCCAAGCCCAGCGCGACAGGTACAAGGCGCGAACCCGCGAGCTCGAGGGCCGACTGGCGGCCGTGGAGCAAGAGTCGGGTCGACACAAGGCACAGGCGGAGTCGATGCTGCGCGACAATCTTAAGCTCTACGAGAAGGTCCGCTTTCTGCAGAGCTATAAGAAGGGGAGGGTCGGTCCAGACGCACTCGACAGTACTCAAGATAAGAGGATGTCCGGGTTAGAACACTCGACGCTCCATCAACGGAATGTCGTCAACGACGAGGGGAAAGGGGCTCAAGAATACGCGCTGGAAGCGGGCCGAGTGCCGACTGGCGCAGGGGCTGCCGCAACAGAAGCTCGTTATCGCGCCATGTACGAAGAGCAAATGAACCCTTTTACCGCCTTTTCAGTTGCAGAGCGCGTCCGTAAGTATCAAGACTTGAGCGTAATCGACAAAATAACGCTCCAGACAACACGGGCGTTTCTTGCCCACAAAAAAGCGCGGATGGCGGTCTTCTTTTACGCGGTGAGTCTGCACCTGCTGGTCTTCCTGACTCTGTACATGTGGGGGCATCACCACTGCACTGACCTGCATTATCAAGCAGACGTGCTCATGGGCCACCCACCCGAGCCGTTAGGGATGCAATCATTGTCAATGGGGAATCATGCGGTAGGAGGAGGAGCCAATCATTTGGAAGGCTAAATGAGAATATGGCTGATCAGTAACCAAAGAACAAATAAGCGTCGTCTCTTTACTGCACTCCGCTCTATAGAAATAAATCTTCACGGTGAGCAATGATGGGCAACAATTTGTGATTGAGACGACTATTTCGCTCTTCGTTGTATGTCTTGTTTTTGAAATGTGACATGTACTTTCTACTTGCTCTTGCCCATCACCTCTACTCTATCTGGCAATGATTCCTTTTGCATGTGTATTTACAAGACGGATACGTTCCCGAGTTCGATAGAGAATTGTTTCAGCAAGAGCTTTTGGACCAACACCATCAAGCGCGGATGTTCTTCCTCGAGACGCCTGAGCGCTGTCTGACTGAAGACACCGAGCTTGACAGGCGTCATCGCTCGCGCGAAGAATCGCCGGCGTTGGTTTTCTAAAAAGAAGTCCACGAAGCCAAAGAGCGAGCCTGAATGCAGCACAACCTCCACGCGCCGTCGACGCCTGTCCCGGCTTCCACCTCCCCACGAGGGCAAACGGTCCGCGGCCCTCATAGGCTCCTCTCTGGCGTCCTCTTCCAGCGATTCAAGAGCCACCTCCCCAGAGAGAATGAGGTAGAAAGAGTCAGAGATGTCTTCCTTGTAGAAGATGGAATCTTCCTCGCGAAATGTCTCTTCTCGTGCGTAGTGAGCTATCATCTCCAACGCATCCTCATCAACGGAACTTGCCATTCCCGGTCCAATCTCCTGTCCTTCTCCGTCCTCTTCCTCCTCCTCCAAAAGCAGTTTCCGAAGGACACTCACAACGCTCAACTCTTGCATTCCACGCAACGAGAAAGCCCGGGCTCGCAGGGAATGCCCATGAGTATGCTGCGACTCTTCAGCGAGCAAAGCCGTCTCACAGGAATCCAGCGCCTGGTGCAGGGTGGGAAAGAGGCGAGTATTGTTGTCTGCAAGCAGCCGGTTTGCCCTTAAGTAGAATTCTACGCGGACGTTGCAATTGCTGTAGCAAAGAATGACCTGCACGTCCTTGCAGAGTGTTTGCAGCGGCAAAAAGCAATTCACAACACTCGACATATCGATAGCGGGCACCCGTCGGAAATCCAGTATGAGAAAGCGAGGCTTTGGGGCGTTCGCAAAATGATTGGCAGCGCCAGTACCAGACGCTTGCATTTCTTGTGTCATTGCTTCGCTGAATGGCTTCATTCCGGTCCCGTAAGTACCGGTGACTGCGGAAGCACCGCCACCAATACTCCTGCCATCGTGGCTCGGAGAAGACGAGGGGGGAAGGGAGGAGCCAAGCCCCGCCAGAGAGGCAGCAGACGACTGACCAACAAGCGGTGACGCTTCTGTTGCTTCCTCTTCATCCACAGCTGCCTCCTGCGCTTCCTTAGGCGCGTCAACACTCCCTCCGTGCCAGACGCGCGTCCACAAGCTGCTAGAAAGGTTTAGAAAGGTCCTGTTCCTGCTCCCTGTCAAAGCATTGGACGACACTCTTCTTCCTGCAAACTTCGTATGAGCATCTGCAGAGCCAATGCTCTGACCGCCAGCCCACATTTCTGCCTGCTCGGTGAGTGATCGTCGGGAGTGCGTCCGAGAAGGACGATACCCCACCATCTTTCCTTTTCTCCGCTCGGTCGATCGTTCTTTGGCTTTCCGTGAAGGGGATTGCGCTACCCCCAACAAGGATTTGATGTGCTCGAGGGTCGTGATACTGCTTCCAAAAAATATAGCCCCGTTAAGCTCTAGCGTCAAAATCTTCCCGTGGTCGAGAAGCCTGCGCGCACCCCTTAGGCGCGCCACGCGGCTGCGTTGGCGCTGGGCCTGAGCAGTCCGGGCGGTGCTTTTGGCGTAAGAAATTATAAACATCGCCATCGAGAGCACTATCCCCAAGGCAAAGCCGGGAATAATGCCGAAAGCCACATTGCCCAAAAACGTCGTCCACAGGACCACGTACTCCTTGGCCGTCATGCGCAGCCGCGCCTCCACCAGCCACTCGAGCATCAGCTCAAAGGTAATGAAATGAAGGGTCGCAGCGAAAAAGTACAGCGGGATGTAGGACATGAGATCCACATCGCAGAAAAAGACCGCCAGTTCCGCCATGATGAGGACGAGGCCGCAGAGTCGAGAACGAGTTTGCGTGCGGTACGTGAAGATGGTCTGGGAGAATATGTAGGAGCCCGTAAACCCCCCGCACAAACCAGCGATGAGATTGGAGGCCCCCACAGTGGAAAGCTCGTGGTTTTTGTTCAGCGGCCGACCGCTGTCCATCTCGATAGCCACGATGTCCAGGCAGCTGCTGAAGGAGACGACAAAGATCATTCCCAGCAACGTGGGGAGCTGGTAGGGCACCACCCACCACTCGATCCGGCCTAATAAGTCCGGCGGCCAGACCTGATAGAGCGCTACGGAGGCCTGCCAAGATGCTGGTGCATTGGCGGGCCCCACCCAGCCGAAGTCCCTCGCCCCCTCCATGCTCTCTCCGGCCAAGAAGAGCACGCCGTAGAAGACGAGGGGCACACAGACCATGGCCACAGGCAAAGCGAGAAAGTGCTTAAACGAATGGGCCACTATTGAAAGCACCACGCCTGCCAAGATGCCTGGAAGGACCAGCACAACTGCCCGGGGATCGTACAGGGCTCTCCAAGCCTGAAGAGAGTCCAGGTCGTGGCCGACAGAGAGCGCCACGCCCGCGCGGAAGCAGAAGGCCGCAATAAAGACGATTTGCCCCCCGATCACCGGTAATGGTAGATAAGACACCAGGCGTGCAAGCTTATAGTGCCCAAGGGCCATCAGAGTAGCTCCAAGCACAGCCGTGCTCAAGCCCAATGTGACGAGGGCGGTAGAAACCACAACCTCTGCAGGCTTATCCTGTAGTAAAAATACCACACTAGTTGCAATTTTCGACAGAAAAATGAGTCCAGCATCTTGTATCTGACCCACTGCGTAGGGCAGGGTTGAGAAGAGAGAGAAAATGGCTTGATGCACGACGGACGACAGGATGAAAAGCTTGGCGAGCATGGGCATGAAGGGTTGGAAAAGGCCTTGGGAGAACACGATTTGTGCATAACCATACAGAATTGGTACGCAAGCAATCGTATTTATGCTGTACAAGTATTAAAGATTTTCAGGAAAAGAGTGAACAAATCTTTGCTG